GGGTAATCCTACGCAAAAAAAGAAGTCGAAAATATAGAATAAAGATTTTTCGTTCGAGGCTTTGTTTTCGAGAAAATCGGCTTTGAATTTTCGCTCGACACGCGTGCACTTTATCGCGTCTCGTTATGACGGATCTCACTGTAGATCGTTGTCTCGATGGAAAAATTAAAAAAAAAAATTTTTATTCTATACTTTCGACTTCTTTTTTCGCGTAGAATCACCCCCTTTCCGCTTGTACCACCAGTTACCAACCACCCTGTATATTATCTGTATGAAGTACTGGAATACTTACGCGTATATTTTTTTCTTACTAACAGAAATTGTTTCAACTTGTGTATCAAAAACGTTCTCAGTTCCGAGGATGCCGTGGCGAAAGCGCCGAGTTAAAGAAACTTTTTCACATGAGACTCGTAAGAAAGTAAAAATGAAATGTGTGGAGCTTTGTTTAAGACTAACACAAGTAAAAGACAACCACAATGGATAATGGGATATTTCTTATTTTTATCTCATTCCTCACGAGAAAATCGATACGTGTTCGTATCAAACTCTGAGGTTCAACGTCTTTTTACGGTCGTTTTATTTTATCACCTTCGTTGCCTCACCTGATTACTTATTATTCTTATTTAATTATTCTCTTAACGATCAACACAGTAACCAAGGATATACTAATATAATAATATACTAATATACGAAAACAGAAAGTTAAGATTGTACCTTGTGAGAGGTCCTTCCCTTGCAAAGAAAATCGAGTGCTATTCATTATCATAATGCACTTTGACCAAGCTAAACTCCATAAAAATTCCACTTCTATTATTCTCACGTCGAATCTCGTGGAAATAGATTGCAGAAAAAAAAAAAGATAGAAACGAGAAGTGAAATCGACGAGCCGTGAAGTTACAGCTCGTCTCGTTGCGTTACAGTGGAAAAGTCTGTTTCGTTCGATGATGGTCGGTAAATAGGGAGGTTCGGTGAGTTCGATTGTACGACTATACGAACAGAACGGAGAATTTAGGATACGTGGACTCGTGGGGCGTGAAGATCCCTCGGGAATCGGGTTAATTCACGAAACGAGATTGATTTAAGAGTTTCGGGCATTCTTCCGGGCAATTTCGAATAGTTGCACTTGAATATCCTTCGAGTATGCGACGCTTGAAACGATTGAAGTACAATGACAATGATAGGAATTATCATGGAACAGGTTCTTCTTTACAAGAAATTAGTTCTATAAACGAGATGATCGCCTTTTAACGCATTGTTGATCAGTCACGAGTAAACTCGTCGTGTTTTCATGCATAAAATTAAGTTGTTAGATTTTCTATAAAACAGCCAGTCAACAAAATATTAATATCATTTAGCAAAGTCTTATTAACAGAAATGTCTGGTTATTTTTATTTTACCTGGGAAATTAAGAAATGAGATTGGAATATTCGAAACGTATAAAATATTTTAGGATAAACACAGTTTCTATGAGAGTGTTCCTTAATCGCAATCTTTTCATGGTATTTAAGAAGAGCGATAAAGCGATTCGTATTAATTTAATATACATTTGCAGCATAAATATCGCATTAATAAGGTTAATTATTACAAGTTCCTATCAATTCGATTATCTACAAAAGATCGAGTTACGTATATGTATATTAATAAAATATTAAAACTGGCAAGGTTTATACTTTCTTCTGCCGTGATCGAAGTGTCATGCCGGATGACACAGGATTAGGTTTTTGCAAAAATAGAGTGACTCCTGGTCGATTCAAGCCTCGAGGACGTGATTCAAGTAGGCGATATAGCAGATGGCCAGTCGTAGGATCTCGATCTTCGAGAGTTTCTTGTCCGGTGGCAAAGTTGGCAGAAGCTTCCTAAGCTCTGCGAAGGCTAAATTGAAAGCTTCTACTCGAACCCTTTCCCTGTGACGAATAAATAATTAACATGCGAAGTTCCAACTCTGCAACGAAGATATCAAAATATTCGTCGAAAATTTATCGCTATTTTAATTTTAACAATTGAAGATTTATATTTGATACTTGAGATATTGATTGTTCAAGAAGGAAAAATCGAGGAAGCGATTGGAATTAAATGGTTAAAGCAGTTTCAGTAATTTCGCAAGATCAATGCAGTACATTTATGCAACAAATACTTCAAATGATATAACAAAGCAGCATTCTTCGAGATTACAAAATATTTGTTAGTCAAAATTAATAAAATACCAATCTTTCGATCAAGATTGGAAGCTTTAAGCGATCTAGACGATGCAGAGAGACGCAGCAGGTGTAAAAATGAAAGTTTAAATATATTAAATATAGGAGATTAATAGGAGATGACGACAATTAACGATAATTAAAGGTATTTTGATAATTTACGCAACTTTTACCTCGTGGCGTGTGCAGTTCGATATTTTTGCGTTGCTCTTCTGCGTCGACGCCTTTCTTCCCTCGAAAGGGTGCCAGCACCAGGTGCACCAACCCCGTTTACAACCACACCGTGACCGCCATTCGCCATTTTGCCTTCGATCAATAGGAATTTGCCAGAAGAAAGATAATTTTCCTTTCCTCTTCCTTCTCCTTAATAAATTAACATTCAATTTCTTCGCGGATAAAGGCTCGAATTATTGAGAACGGATATTGCCAGTGAAGCATCCATTTTCATGCTTTAAACCTGAAACGTAATATATCGTTCGATCGTGTAGATTCAACGTAGATTAATAAATAATCTGTCAGTTTCTGTCGTCGTTTTCGACGATGTTCAGAGTTACCCGTTGACGTGTAATCGAATCTCAAGGGAATAAGCGTTGAGGAAAAATTCGGAATAAAGGGGAAACGTAATAAGTTGGTCAAATATTTGCCATACGTATTCGACACAAGCGTGAAAACAAGTGCAACGGACAATAGAAAGGGTTAATCGTTTCTCTAACGCACACGCCCTTTCGTATAAATTTTCTTTATCGTGAAATATCGAATAAAAAAATAATAGCTGAATAGTACTTTAAAATTCCCGTAGATGCAAAGCGTATAGAATCGAAGGAAATCGGTTGAAGAAAAAGACGTAGTACGGATGAATAAACGAGGAAAACCAAAGGTAAACAGGATGCTATGAAAGAAAGAATAGTTTCGATGCTCAGGGGGCTCTTAAATTCCGAGAAATTCGATGGAAACCGACGAAAAGTGTCATTGTATTATTCAGGAAAACTTGGCTGGTTCGCATGACACGCAACCCATCCCTTTTTAATTATTTACACAGAACAACCCCCGATCTCGTTCAATCTGATTCTTATGGTAAACCGGCAATTCGTATGGACATTTTCTCGCGGTTGCTTCAATATTTCACGAAATTTGCCAGATTTCGATGCCGTTTCACTTTTATTGCCAACTTTTCCCCGCCTCGATTCACACCTTCTTCATGCAAATTTTATTATTCGACGAATGTATCGGAACTCGAGTTACGGGCTCTTCGCTCTATTTCATTTTTTATAATTAAAATCGATTTTAAATTTTAGACATTCGATTAAAAAGCAAGCGAAAGCAAAGTAAAGTTTAGAAACTCACCAAACGATCACTGCACAGTTTCTATTCCCGTCTTCGATAAGTCTTCCAATTTTTTTAAATAATTCATTTTTCCTTCGCCGATAATTAACGTAGAAAAATTACTGTTTTCCCTCTGTAAAAGTATTTCGTTCTTTATAATTGTATTATACCTCGTATCGAGTAAATGTATCTGCCAAAAGGAATATTGTAACACACTTTTTACACCTCGACACTATCCTTTCCGCTGACACTGTGTATTTTTCAACGAATATTTAACAAATTTAATAATTGAACGATTATTTAAATTATCTTTAAACGCATCCATGTTACAGTAAACATAGTAATTCACTGAAAAAGCACTTCGATGACACATCAAAAATCTTTATGAATCTAAAGCAAAGTTTTCTCGATATGTTTACTTCTCTCTCTCTCTCTCTCTCTTCCTATTGATATAACATACCAATTCCTATTAATCAAACTTTTAAACTAATTTAGAAACTTACACCTGTATTACTTGAGACTTCAACTGACCACCGTCACTCACAGATTATCAATTTCTTTACATACTTCAAAAACATATCACGCCACTGTATTCGATGCTTTATATCTTTCAAACTTTTTTTCTCATAAAAGCATCCAAGCACAAAAATACCTTTCACCCTGTGAATCAGTCAAACACGATTACTCGACGAGATAGACGATGTCTCTGATAAGATTTCTGGCTGTCGCGTGGACAGGATGCACCCCGAGGAACAATTTCAAGGATCATCTCGATGTTGCTGAAACCACGCCCCTGAAAACATCCCTTCGTTGTTCATCGTTCGGTCTCTGTTCATTCGTCTCTCTCGTGCAGCATCCCCTTGGTTCTCCAATGGTATCGCGAGAAACAGGGGGTGAGACCGCCCCAAACCGGTCGCCATCGCGTCGCTGTCACGGGCCATGGGACGCTTCTGCTCCTCGTGGATGCGAGTACGGGAATGGATGGACCATTTTATCGATCATGCGAATTGTACAGCTTCTGCGTGCATGATCGGAGGACTATAGGTGAGAAATTTGGAATAGTGATTGTCGGGCAAGCGTTCGATTATTTCATGTCAGTTTCTACGCTTTTGTTTTGTTTTCTCGTCTTTTCATACTGGTATTTTCTGGAGAAAGAGAAATTGATTTTAACAAGGTGCATTCTTCTCCCTTCTCTTCAGAATCGTCCAATTTTTGCGTTTCTGATCGGAGGATTTTACGCGAGGCACAGTGATCGTCACACAACGTTGAATTATTTGACAGCAGTTTGTATGCTTTGGTTTTGTTTTCTCGTCTTTTCATACTGGTATTTTCTGGAGAAAGAGAAATTGATTTTAACTAGGTGCATTTTTCTCCCTTCTCTTCAGAATCGTCCAATTTTTGCGTTTCTGATCGGAGGATTTTACGCGAGGCACAGTGATCGTCACACAACGTTGAATTATTTGACAGCAGTTTGTATGCTTTGGTTTTGTTTTCTCGTCTTTTCATACTGGTATTTTCTGGAGAAAGAGAAATTGATTTTAACTAGGTGCATTTTTCTCCCTTCTCTTCAGAATCGTCCAATTTTTGCGTTTCTGATCGGAGGATTTTACGCGAGGCACAGTGATCGTCACACAACGTTGAATTATTTGACAGCAGTTTGTATGCTTTGGTTTTGTTTTCTCGTCTTTTCATACTGGTATTTTCTGGAGAAAGAGAAATTGATTTTAACTAGGTGCATTTTTCTCCCTTCTCTTCAGAATCGTCCAATTTTTGCGTTTCTGATCGGAGGATTTTACGCGAGGCACAGTGATCGTCACACAGCGTTGAATCATTTGACAACAGTTTCTTTGTTTTCGTTTTGTTTCTTCGTCTTTTTATATTTGTATCTTCTGGGGAAAAGAGAAATTGATTTTAACAAATTGCATTTTTCTTCCTTCTCTTCAGAATCGTCCAATTTTTGCGTTTCTGATCGGGGGATTTTAAGCGAGGCGCAGTGATCGTCACACAGCGTTGAATTATTTGTTTACTTTGGTTTTGTTTCTCCGTCTTTTTATATTGGTATCTTCTGGGGCAAGAGAAATTGATTTCAACAAAGTGTATATTTCTTCCTTTCCTTTCGCTACTTGCTTCGATCTCTTTTAGGTACACGATGAAAGAATTGGCGACACTTTGTGTTTCGTTTGACAGTTACTCTACAAAAATCCGCATTCGTCCTCTTTCCTCTTACGATGTTTTATTAATTAAGTTCGCTTTAAAGTCTCAATCTTCGTTATTAACTCTCCGTCCTTTGCGTCACTTTCGATGCATCCGTATCTCTTTAACGTAAGAAAACATGTCAAGTCTGAGCGAAATATAATCAAATTATTATCGATATCCGCTATTTCTCGTCTCAATTCTATGTCAAAAGTTTCCTGGAATCATTAAAAATTTCTTCGCTCGTTTACGGAAGAGCAAGATTGAGACAGGTGAAAATCGGAAACTCCTTTTTATCGACAAAGAAGATATTATACAATACGATAAAAAGGAACGCGTATAAAAAGTTTTTAACGTAAAAGGGTTTATCCAACTACGAGATACAAATGTAGAAATTACACAAATTCTTCTGACAAATTACTAGGGCTCGACGATAAAGGATTCAACAGTGCTCCGAGTAATCACATTCACACGACGATATAATATACATTATGCCATGCAACACGTGTTGCAGATTACATCGTCGTAACGAGAGACGAGATGAGGCGAACCGCACTTGAATTGTTCGGCTTTCGATTAATGTTTCTTCTGGTCGCGCATGTCATGACATAGTTCACGCTTCGTTACTCAACCCCTGTCTTTTCGACGCCTTTCCTCACCCCTTCCTGGCACGTGACTTTTGCCACGCGACTTTTCAAAGCAACGAATTTCAAAGAAGGGGTTGTTATGGTTTTCCTCTTTATCTATCTATTATACGCTCGTTTGGTGTTTCTTGCGTGCTGGATAGATCGTAACTGAGTAATTGTATAACTGTGTAGAGAATTGAACGAAGAGATGGACGACTTGAAAGGCGAACATAGCAATTAAGGAGAAGGTGAATAAAAGACAAGGATTAAATTTTCGAAGCGTCAGTGAACACATTTTTTCATAGAAATAAACAAATTGAATGTATCCTTTTTGGACTGTAGTCAAAATTCGTTCTCACGCGTGTGACACGATATTACGTGTACGCGATGTTACACGACAATGGATTGAGAAATATCGAAGCAGTCGAATATGGAAGAGAAAAGAAATTAATTGGCAAAATCTGGTGAGATCTTTGAATTAAGAAAACTGTTTCTTGAAAGAACAAATATCGCGAAGTGAGCGATAAACGCAAGGGTGCAGCACGAACAGGGTGGCATCAGGAACAGTATGATCGATATTTCAGTGCCTGTTGGTACATAGGAACGTACAGTCGTCGTTATCGGTTGAAAAAGTCACGTATTTTGTTGGACAGATGTGCTTTAATAAAGATATATGCACTGTACCAATGATAGGAATAATTATTTTCATTGTATTATCAATTGCATAAAATATATCATAGTTCTACGATACATATTCCTCAACGTTAAAAATATTACATTGGAATTTTCTTTAAACGATCAGATTTTCTGGTTGTAATGAAGTGATATAAAGATATATAAAGCTAAAGGCTACGAATTGTTGATTACAAAAATAGAAAAGAATCGAAATACGCTCAACTGTAAAATTTAGAATTATACTATAATACGAAATTAATTATTATACATAGAAGAACCTCGATCTACTGAAGATTTAAAAATGAATAAAATACACGAAAGGCTGGATATAAAGATATAAAATTCGCAGATATAAAAGTGTTTCTTTTTAAAGCTGTTTCTATCTTGTCTCCATTTCTAGCATATTTGGCCAATAATCATTCGATCGTAATGCATTCCTCGCAGTGGCACCAGTGACTGTTGGATGTTCATAATCGTTCGATTGTCTGCATTGACGAGTAGATTTTCTTCTTCTCGATTCTCGAGACGTTGACAAGCAGAGGTTCGCCTTTTTCGACCATCTTATCGTCCAGGCTCGTTTTATTTCCGTTCTAACTTCGATGTTCAGCAGACAGTAAAGCAGTGCCACGAAAGAACCCTGAAGAAATGGTGCATTTTCTTATTTTCTAAGTTTACGTACTTTTACTTTACAAATTTTTATTTCTTTTTTTCTTTTAAGGCCAATAGAAGTACTTGGAACGAGGCGAAGAATTGATCGAAGAAGAGCCAGACCAGTTCCACGCGGTTATCTTTGTGATAGGAGAGCCCAAGAAATAGAGTATAATGAGCACCAAACAGGGGCACCAATACCAAAGTAGATTTGGCCCACCTACTGTGTAAGAGAAACAAATTTATATATTCTTCACTGTAATAATCCATTTATTCTTTTATATCGCAATAAAAATACGTTCTTTCATCTTCAATATAAAAAGTTGCGCATCGAGCGGCGATAAATCAGTACGAAGGAAAGAGTACGAGTTATAAATTTACCTGTACTGCATTTTTTTCCGTTGCAAATGTACGGACGTCTTGAATTTGATGAACAGGACACGTACAATGTTGAGGAACAGCAGAAAGTTGAACTAATAACATATAGTTCATCGCGTTATTAATTCATAGTTCTTATTCGCTGATATTTTCCTATAGCATCTTCTGTAGGAATCTTTTTTTTAAATCAACGAGCCTAATCCCTCGTTGAAAGGTACGTCACTTACCAAAATCGATATTACGATGGGGATCCTTATAAGAAGAAATAAAGAAGGATTTTGGTGAGTGGTCCAGCAAAATGTGTCCTCGATCGTGGCTCGTATTATTACCCAAGGAACAACCACGAAAACGGGCAATCCTTAATTGTACAAATAAAAATCACGTCCTATTCCTGTCCTTCGTATTTCTAACGTGTATTACGCGATCTTTACCAAACACGTGTTATGTCACTGTGTGCATGTCAGGGTTCTTTAAACGACCTTGAATGTTTTTTTTTTTTTAATAATTCGAAGGATTTTTAAATATGCAATCTTAAAATGACTTTCTAAATTACTTTGATGTAAATTTGATGTAACTTTTTCGAAACCACCTTCAAAGGCTTTGAATTAATTTTACAACGACATCGAATCAGTTTATCTTAATTTTGAAATGTACTCGAATGGTCTTGCAACATCGTCAAATAATTATGTACTTAATTAATCGTATAATAAATTACGTTTGTATAATCTTACCCCAGCCCAGTAAAATATACAAATTAATGGCTGAACTATCCGCAAAAAATGCCCAAACGACCAGATTATGCAGGTACAAACCCTCCATCAGGATCCAAGAATAATTAGCAACGATGAAATACTGCCACACACTCGTGATGCCTTTACAAATCATCGTCTGAAACTGATTATCTTAATTGTACATCGATTTCCATCGATTTTCTCTTCCAGTTTAACTATCTCTTTTAATCGAGTATTTGACATGCCTACGTTTCGTTGCTTGATAAAAGCGTTTTTCTCGTCGAGATAAACAACGTCCACCGTCCGTCTAATGCCATCGACGAAGATCCAGTCTCTGATCAGTGCCATGAACGCCCTCATTATGAAAGAGGCGAACAGATGCATGTGAAGCCTGTTCCTGGGATTTCTGAGTTTTCTAAGCGAGGCAGTCGATTGTTACAACAAGAACCGGGACAAGGAAAGAAACACAATTAGTCGAGTACCTGAGTAGAGAGAAAATAATCATCGCGATAACCAGCATAGTGAAAGATGTGGTATAGCCGATTTGAGAGACAAGCCTGACGATAGGCAGCCATTTCTACGACAAAAGCAGAAATTAAGTCTACAGAATTACATTTTGATAAACTTATAATTTTATTAAATATAAAATTCGTCGGTCAAATATAACTATAAAATATATTAAATATAGAATAGATGTTTTAAAAAGTTATAGTGCACGGTATAAATGGCAGAAATAATTCCGAAAGTTACGAAAAGGAATGACTTCACTTTCTTGTAAATTTTAGCGATGTAATCTTCTTTTGCGAGGATGTTGGCAAAAATTTCTTTTACGCGATAAAAATATAGACAAGAAAATCTGAAATAAGTTAATTTTAAATAGACACGTGTAAGCTGAAAATTCTTACAGCCAAGAGAAAAGATTCAAAGTTCCTGTAGTCTCGAGGATCGGTCATCTCATCTATTTCCAGGATGGTCTCCATGAGGTAACGAGTAGTGAATTCATCGGACAACTCGCATAAACTGTAATTACTCCCGGGAATATTGTCGTAATTTGTGTACCATTGACCATTTGGAAGACAAGCTTTCGTAGCCATCGCTATAACGCGAACATTCGACTCCAGATTATTCGCTGCGGAATTTAACTGGTATATCAGGCCAGTTTCAGGAGGACAAGGTAGAATGGCGATGGTTGAGGCTTCGGTATACGACCAGCAAAGTAGCCCATCAAAATGTGGCGGGCAATGGCGAAATTGTAACGTTGCGTTTTGTGACGTTATGTTCTGATCTATTTGTTAAAGATACGTACACGATTAAAAGATTATTTTTTATACCCACGACTTTCGTCTTTCTCATCGAACTTTCATTGTTTCCTTTTTATTCTTGGAATAGGAAAAAAAAAAGAAAATGAATATAAAAAACATTAGTCACGTTAATAGACTTACATTCTGTCATCAATCCATCGCATTTCTGTTTCTGTTCGATGAAGAAACGTTCGATGTTCGACGTTGCGTTGACCTTCACTACTGGTTCCATTTCAGTCGATG